TATGACTTGTCTTCCCAGTCGCTGACAATAAAACATGGCAACATATGGAAGCCATCGCTTTGAAGGCGGAACCGTTTTAGTGCATCGCAATAGAGAAACGTGCTCTTAATAGGTATTTTCAGCGTTAATGTCAGCCAAGCCAGGATGAAGGCTTGTGTGTGGGATTGCATTCATTACGCTGGAGTAATGGGGCGGAGGGAAGAGGAGGAGGGTCAGAAGTTACAGGCTTGGTGTTAATGGCTTGTGTGTAGCTTACAAGGCTTTGGGTTCTGGGCAGGGTTCCCTCTAAGCTGAGTATGTGTGAGCTGGCTCACAGTTTTTTAGCTTCCGGCTCACACATTTTTGTCTTAGCTCAGGAAGGGATGGCTCCAGAGCAAACTAATTTATACGGTAGCCAAATCGCCGACTCACAACTTGAATGCCAGCAGCTCACAAAGTAGAATTTTTGCTCACATGACTCCACAGCTTAGAGGGAGCATTGGTTCTGGGTAAAAACAAACAAACAAGTTCCAGAGAGAAAGGCTCCGGAGGAACATCGAGCTAGAAGACGAGAGAAGAGAAGGGGTTCTATCTCTTCTGCCACACCTCCTCCACCTAGAGAGGCAGGAAGAAGGACGAAGGTAGAGGCATCGCTATGTTTACGTGCTGGGGCCATTTCTGTCTCCATCCCAACGTTATCTTTTAAGAAGTTTGGGTTCATCTCTTTAGAAACGGTCCCACAGACCGGGGCAGAGGGAGTTTGACAGAGAGGAGAACAAATCGCTGACAAAGAACCTTTTTACGTTTCATCAGCGTTGTTAGGGCGACGACCAGGAATTTCTCAGATAATAACTTCCCACTTCAAAGATTTCTCAACTCAATAGAAATTGGACCATCCTTTTTTATTCAGCCACAAGGGCCAGCACTAAAGACGACTCGACTGTTTGGAATTTTTTCCCCTTTTTTTGGCCAGCGTGTTTATTTTTCCCCTATTCAGTGGAGTACTTGGATAAAATAAACAAGAAGACAATTGCAGCAACATGGACTTCTAACTTCCCCCGGGACCGTGGCCCATCGCTCGTGGCCTCAGACTTGCCACGCTGTTTGAGCTCTACACCTCCGATCAGTTCGTTCGTTCTTTCTTTCTTTCTTTCTGTCTTTCTGTCTGTCTGTCTGTCTGTCTGTCTGTCTGTCTTTCTACCATCCAAGACATTCAAAAAACCATACTGCCTGCCTGGGCTTTCATCTGGAAGCCCGCCGGACCACCTTGGCACCCCTTTCTCTGCCACCTTCCTTCTCCAGCATAGGGGCTGCATATACATAAACATGAATAAATTGCGGGGGGGGGGGGGGGGAAACGGCGCAATCCTCGCCCAATCTCACTGCGTTTGGGAGCACTCTAGATGCCAGGAACCAGAGAATCAGTCACAGACACTTGTAGTAAAAGGGACTGAGAGCCCGAAGAAGACCAGCGCATATGAATGTGAACATCACACAAATCTGTTGATTGGGAGATTCTTGGAGAGAGGGTTTTTTGGGGGGAGGGGGCAATGCGGTGGGACGGGAGAAGAGCTTCGTGAACTCGTCAGCAAACAAACGTGACTGTTGTTCAATCGGCAGGCTATGGACTTGCTCGCGAGTAGTCCCATTCCAATTAGTTCGGCTTCTTGGAAATAAGAGGATACTGAAGTCCCACCGTTTTCCAGGGATGCAGAACATTCATCCTTCCTCTCCCGCCCCGCCCCCCCCCTTTGCCGCCCTTTGGGTCTCTTAATCGCAGAGGCCCAAGATGCGGTAACAAAGGCCTTCCTTAAGAAGGCGAGCCAGCCAGGAGAGGCGAAGGGGGCGAGGTGGAGGAAGTCCATCTCCGAGGAAGAGCAGCTTGAATGTATTAAGCTAGCATGAAACCAAAGGTCAGCGCAAATGTATCTTAATAGACTGTCTCGAATGGAGTGTGCCTCCCTTTCAGCGGCGCTTGCTATTGCTCCGCTCATTACCATAGCGATCCTAACGTGGCATGCTGATGCACCGTAAAGCTCACACTTTCCAACCCCCCCCCCTCAAAAAAAAATCAGAGCCTTTGAACAAGGCCGGGCTTGATTAGACCTTTCTCCTTTTCTTTTCCCTCCTTCAAACCCATTTCCTCGCCTTTAGAAAAAGTCGCCATCAAATCCCAAAGGCCGTCTCTGATCACGGCCCAGAAGAGAAACAAAAGTGAGCTGACGGACGGGCGGCGATTCAAGCGGCCCCCTTTTTCTTCCCGACATTCTTATCCATTCTGATGAGGGGGCTGGAACAAGGGCCCCCATTCGCGTGGGGTTCCCCCCCCCTTCTCTTGCCCCGGAAATTCGAGAAAAACGATGCCCTCGACGTCCATCACGAACACAAAAAAATGCAAATAAATAGATAGATTTTTAAAAAGAAAGAAAGACAAGGGAGGGGGGGGTTCGCAAAAAAGAAAAAAGACCGAGACTGGAGGGGCGTGAAGGGAAGGGAGGGGGTTAAAAGAATCTGTTAGACGTAAATATTATGTCCTTCATGAAAAGACTGGACGGGCTCCAGACTTCGCTTTTCACTCTTTTAAAGTATGACTTGTCTATTGCTTTAGAAATCTTAACTCACCATGAAGATTCACCGTTGCGGAGAAATGCTTGCATTGTGAGACTCGGCTTTGATGTCTAAGGCATAAGATGCGGGGCTTTCAGCTGCCTCTGTCTAGATTACCTTGAGAGCAACGGGATAGACATCTGTAACAAGCAAATGAAAAATTAAAGGTGATTAGCTTACACATTAAAAAAAAACACCCCTCGCTTCTGCAAAGAAAGAAATCAAGAAGAAAAGGCAGGGGGTCAATGCAGGGGAGGAGGGAGTGGCCGCCCTAGGCAAGGTGGGAACGTCTTCTCTTCTGGAGGAGGGCCTCCATACCTTCGCAGGTCCACGCGGCATCCCTTCTTAGACCCGACGACGGATAACTCCCTTCCCCCTCCCCCAGAACCTCTTTCTAGTTCTTTAGGCTGGGAGGGTGGCGACGGCATACTTCTTCATAGGCATATTCTTCCCGTTGACCAAGCGACCCATTCAACGTGTGGACTGGGGTAGTGTGAAAGGTTCCTTACCATGAAGCTCTTCCAAACAGTAGAGACAGACGGACAGACGGACTGGCTAACTGACTAACTGATGGACGGACTTCTTCAGGAATAAGGGAAGGACTAACACTGCAGTCCTGAACTAGTCCACCCAGAATCCTACTGAAGTCTACACAACAAGGCCTACTTGCAGGAGACTATCCTTAATGTTGTGCTGTTAACAATGTCATCATCGGAAATAAGTACCATTGAGTTTACATTGGCTGGAGAATGTCTCATTGTACTTACTCTGGGGTAAACATACACGGGGGTCTTGCTGCACGAAAAAGACTCCTGAAAGTTCAGGGAGATATTTGGATGGGAGGTGTAGTAGATAAACTTTCAGGTCAACCATTTCCGCCATTGAGTGACCCAAGGCATGGATTAGGGGGTTCGCAACACTGCATGGAAGGACTGTTTGGAAGCCGGTCTCTATGGCAGGGGAGAGAATCAGCTCCAGCCCTAAATATATTGCCTGTAAGTAAGGTCCATGGAAGTTTGTGCGATTTACTGAAAAACGATGTGTTTAGGATCTTGCCTGGTTCCTTTAGCCTGGGAGTAAGGGCCAGGGAATAACACTGGGACTTACTTCTTACTAAACATGCATAGGATTGGGCTCTGCAACCCGCCTCTGCTGCGTTAGGCTCCCAACTGTCAATCAAGAATGTATGTCTCCCCCCCCCAAGGGGACAAGGGGCAACAAGCGGGGTCTCTGAAAATAATACCTTTCAAGACATCCAGATATGTTCGAGATTTGAAAACCATTTTATTTTTTCGCGTTACAAAAAGAAAAAAGGGAAAAGAAGGAAAAAGGATTCTTATCCCGAATGATTATTGTACATTACAAACGTTGTGCGTTTGAAAACGACCAGCACTTGGTTTACACGATGGGTTCAGAGCGAATCGGCGAAGTCGTGAGTCCTTCTGGACAACCCCAACCACAATGACGTCACCCAGAGCAGCCCCCTTCCAATTAACATGGATCTCACCTGCCATCCACTAAGAAATCACAAGTAGTCACAATTCAACAGAAGTAACACGGGAGGGGGGGGCAGAAAGTCCAAGAGACTGTGTTTGTGTTTAAAACCACTGCTCCTGTAAATTAAAATGTACCATAAATCATTAAGGCCCCCCCCCGGGTTTGTTTTATTAGTAGGGAGACTATAGTATGCGTGGGGGGGGGGGATAGGTCAGAACAGAGCTTCTGTCCAAAAATATCAACTGAACGGGTAAATTAACCGAAGTATTTAATGTATCGATTCGTTATTACAATTTCGGTAACAAATAATGTATGTATAGATACTTAGATCCCTCTCTTTAAACACACACGCGCACACAGCCGGGGGGGGGGGAGAAAGGAAGGAGCTAATCCAAGAATCCAGGAAAACACCATCACAAAGTACCAGCACCGACAGTCGCAGCCTGTACATCTAGAAATCCGTATTAAAACACTTTGGTTGATTGGTACAAAAAAAGGTGGGTTCAGTTCAGAGTCAGACCGAGGTCTCTGTAAACGTACAAGGAAGCAGAGGATCCGAGGCGCCTGCCCTGGGAAGGAAAAAAGGGGGGGGGGGGGGGGGAGGGGGAAGGGGAGAGTTCCCGTCTCGTGTGCTTGACACCTTAATAAATACAAAATGGGGCGAGGGGGTTGGGCGGGGGTCATTTTACAGTGTATCTTCTCTCCTGTGGACTGTGCAGCATTTCCGACCGACCGCAGGCGAGTGGGGGAGGATGGAGGGAGCTGGCTTGCTCCCCGGACCAAGGGTCGACTCCCCCGCCCCGCGCCCGGGCCCGCCGGCCAGTCCTCGGGTCCGGTGTGCGCCCAGGCTCCGCAGCACCCGGGAAAGCGCCAGTGCAGCAGTCTCGCCGGCGGGCGGCCGTCCTACCGTAATGCCTCTAATAAGGGGGCCGGGGCTGCTCCTCCTCGCAGTTCGTGTACGCGGCCTCTCCCGGGCGAGGCGACGGAGAGTTACTGGGTGGCGTCGGGATGCCGCTGGCCCCTGAGCTCTGACACACGTACCATTCGCTCAGGTTCGCCGCGGCCTGCCTGGAGGAGGCGGCGGCGGCGGCGGAGGGCGGCTGGGGAGGCGGCGGCGGCGGCGGCGGCTGAGGGGGGTCCCGGCCGCAGTCCGACGAGGGCGACACCAGCGAGGGGGTGGACGACTCGTAGCCCGAGCTGGGCGGAGGGGACTTGCAGTGGACCTTCATGTGCTTCCGCAGGGAGCTGGGGTGCGTGTAAGACTTGTCGCAGCCTCGCACTTTGCAGTTGTAGGGCTTGTCGCTGGTGTGCACGTGGGAATGCTTCTTCCGGTCGCTGCTGTTGGCGAAGCGCCGCTCGCAGCCTTCGAACTCGCATTTGAAGGGCTTCTCGCCTGCGAAGAAAGGCAATGCAGGGAGACTGGGGTTACCGCCCGGCAGGGAAAGGGTGCGCGGGGTGGGGGGTGGGGAGAAAGGGACTGTTTGCGGGTCACAAGTTCAGATCTGCGAGGGCCACCCTTTCCCCGGCTGGCACCACAGTTCAGGACACCTTCCTACAAGAACGCGAGGGCTGCAGCAGGGGGTGACCGGGGTGAGGGGCAAAGGAGCCGGTGCTTCCCAGGGGGCGTCCTCCTCACCCACCCCAGTGCCCTTCCCTCCTGGAGACGGAAAAGGTTTGGATGGAAGGCTTAGGGTGGGGGAGCTGGGGCCCCCAGCCAGGGCCAAACGTTTGTCTGACGCGGTCCCTTGGGCTAACTCCCCTCTGCTTGCTTCATTCGTCTTGACATGGCAATCTCTTCCATATCACAAATGCCACCCCCACACCCCCAATCTGCCAAATTGTACTGAATTGCCGGCTGTAAAACTCCAGGTTCTCGAAGTGGAGTCTCGTACAGGGTTTCCACAAGCTCCCCTGGCCCTTCCTCCCAATGCAACACTAATTTCACCTTCCTGCCTGCTCAGTCCTAACCCTTCCCCACCCCCGCAAACAATAGGTTAGAACGGGCTCTGTAGGAAATACTGCAAACCCGAAGAGGGGAAATGAATGCCCGAGAAGCCTAGGTAGGCCACTGCTGAAGACCCGTTCAGATCGGAGACGTGGTTTTTAGTGTGTTTTATTTCTGAAATACTTCTATCTTTCTTCAGGCGGAAGTAGTCATTCCTAACCTTTCTTCAGTATATTCAGGTGGGTAGCCGTGTTGGTCTGAAGCAACGGAGGAGTTTGACTCCAGGGGCCCCTTTAAGACCAAGAAAGTTTTATTCAAGGTATAAGCGTTCCTGTGCACGCACACTTCCTCAGATACAATGAAATGGAAGTTACCAGTCATTACATATAGGTAGAGGCAGTAAATTAGCACACAACAATAAAGAAGGCCAATGCTATGCTGGGGATTGTTAGGAAGGGTATTGAAAACAGATCAGCCAATATCATAATGCCCCTATATAAATCAATGGTGAGACCTCATTTGGAATACTGTGTGCAGTTCTGGTCACCACACCTTAAAAAGGATATTATAGCTTTGGGAAAAGTGCAGAAAAGGGCAACTCGAATGATAAAAGGGTTGGAACACTTTCCCTATGAGGAAAGGTTAAAGCGCTTAGGGCTCTTTAGCTTGGAGAAACGACGACTGAGGGGTGACATGATTGAGGTTTATAGGATTATGCATGGGGAAGAGCAGGTTGAGAAAGAGGTACTTTTCTCCCTTTCTCACAATACAAGAACTCATGGGCACTCCATGAAATTGCTGAGCGGGCGGGTTAGAACGGATAAAAGGAAGTACTTCTTCACCCAAAGAGTGTTTAACACATGGAATTCACTACCACAGGAAGTGGTGGCGGCTACAAGCATGGACGGCTTCAAAAGGGAATTAGATAAGGATATGGAGCAGAGGTCCATCAGTGGCTATTAGCCACAAGGTATAGATAGGGACTCTGGGGCAAGTGATGATCTGCCTTCTTGGTGCTGGGGGGGGGGGGTCAACAGTGGGAGGGCTGGCCCCACTGGTGGACCTCCTGATGGCACTGGTATATCTGGCCACTGTGTGATACAGAGTGTTGGACTGGATGGGCCTTTGGCCTGATCCAACATTGGCGTCTCTTATGTTCTCTTATTTAGTTAGTTTTTTAGGCCACCCTTCCTTGCAAGCAGGGCTTAGGGCCACTTATAAGGAAGGTGTATGCAATAAATAAATAAAGTTAAAACAAACAATAAAGTATAGAAGACGTATATCAACAAATAAAATAATCCAATTCCAAGATAGCTGGAAAAATGTCAGCTTCCACAAGCAGGGTGGGGGGTGGGTTGCAGAGAATGGAGGGTGTGGGAGTGCCAGACTAAGTGCTGCCCCATCGCTGTCCTCAACAGAATCCCTGGTGGAACATCTCTGCCTTACATGCCCGGCAGAAAGGTAACAAATCCAGCAGGGCATGGATGTTCTCTGGCAGAGAGTTCCATCAGGCTAGCTGCAAGGCTGAAAAAGTCCATGTTGAGGACAGCATAATGAAGATGTAGATTCAAGGATCAAACAGGAATAACAAGCTTCGTTTATATGGTTACCATTTCTTTGGGTTTAAGGGGCGGGGGAACATAGTGAAGGAAATAAATATGTCAAAATTGGAGATTGATGAGCAGATGTATCCTTCATTGTGAAATATCTACCCTGTCATAATAGATTAGAATAGCAGATTGTAATATGGTGTAATGAATGGTAGAATGTAATGTAATTTGGAAAGGTAGATTGGAATGTATTTCTCTGGTCTGGGGACAGGGGAGATACACAGCCTACACAGCCAATTGCCCCACTTAAAAGAAGAAGAGTCTGTAAGTTCGCCTCCATACTTGAGAGGAGACGGATGGAGCCTAATGGCAAGATCTCAGTTAATTACTCTCAGCATTCCACAATTAAGGATACATCTGCCCATCAATCTCCAATTTTGACATATTTATTTCCTTCACTATGTTTCCCCCCCAGAATTAAACCCAAACAAATAGTAACCATATAAACTAAACTTGTTATTCCTGTTTAGTCCTTGAACCTGTTAAACATCTTCATTATGTTGTGTGCTAATTTACTGCTCATCCTGTACCTATATGTACGGACTGGTAACTTCCATTTCACTGTATCTTATGAACTGTGCGTGCACATGAAAGCTTATACCTTCAATAAAACTTTGTTGGTCTTAAAGGTGCCACTGGACTCAGATTTCGGGGTCTGTGTGTGTGTTAATATCTGGAAAATAATAGAAAGACCAAGAGGAGAATGGATACCACCATGAGCTCTTCGGAGGAAGGGCAGGGTACAAATGCCAGAACTGTGACGGGGGTACCTTCCCCTTCTTAACATCGGACACGATTGAATATCCAGACGGGTATTTCTGCCGGTGATAGCCATTCTTCTTACTAAATCCAACATTATTGGCTTCACGGGACGAGACTAGGCCAAGCTTGCCTTTTCTCTATCAAGCAGTAAGGAACATAAAGGGATGTATTTAGTAGGGGAGCCACATAGACCAGGCGTGTTGAGGTCAATGGCAAGACACTTCCGGATTTGAATAGATCTGCATTGGGATCGCATTGGAGGGGGGTGGAGATTCAGCGAGAAGAAAACACGATTTTCAGGAAAGCTACCTCGAGAGATACTGGACGCACGATTTTTGCGACTGATAAAGCAATCCGCGCCGAAGCCACGTGCTGTGGAGTCTCTATGGGCCACGGCTGTATTATTTTGAAAAAAAATCAGCAGAGAGAGCGATGCTTAGTGTACAAAAGACGCCCAGAAAACATTATCGTGCAGAAATGGACTGAGACGGGAACGGAAACCGATCTACTGTGTTTCTTAATGGCATTCTGTGGCCATATAGCTGGGTAAGTGTGTCTATTTGTGGGTCTGCGTGGCGTTGCTTTAAACACGACTTCCTTAAGGAAGTCGGGGGACAAATTTCGACTTCAGTGGAAAACCTACATATTTTTTTTTAAAGGCAATCTAGCCCTTCATGGCTTGTCCGCTGAATATCCAGGGCAAAACGCTTTTAAAAGGAAGGACGAGGTGCCAGCCATTTCTCTCTCTCTCTCTCCTCTCCCCCCAGTGGGGGCACACTGTCTGTATACCAGTTAACGGACATCTGGACGGTGGGCGGCTAATTGTTGGGGGAGGGTCCGTAAATGGCTGGCGGAACTGCAAACTTTCAGGGATGTGACTGCTCCCCCCCCCCATAATCAGCTGCAGGCCCTGCGAAAGCGATAGCCATGTTTTCTGTACACGAAAGGCCCAGGCTTCCTGTGTACCTACCAAGAAGGGCCTTGACTCATTTGTACGGGGTGGGGGAAGGATAGGATCATCTCGATGCCTCTTTAAGCATTTTAATTACAGTTCCTTGTAAAGACACAGTTTGACCTTCCGCTACTCCGCTAAAATAACAGATCAAGGGGACCGGTGTAGCACAAGCGAGCGGTAAGTTAGGAGGCCCTGGGGAACGCTTCCCTCATAAAGCCCGCGATTGTGAGCTGCATTCAGGTAAGGCTGGGCCCAATGCGGCTTCTCCTTTCTCCAAGGGGAAAAAAGTTTAACTTCTTTTAACCCCTTTTGCGCCTCAGTTGGGCCAAAGGAGGGGAGGGGGGGGGCTGGGCACGAGGAAAGACAGCTTCATTGTTGGGCTGCGACGCTTCCTTCCAAGGCCTCGAGGACTAAAGCGTCCCCGGCCAACTGGAAAGATTTCCTGCGTGTAAATATGTATTATTGGGGGGGGGGGGGGATGCCTTTTCAAAGCTTTCTCTGACATGTTTCATTTGCCGTAGATGAGGCCGGGCGAAGTGAGAAGGGGGCGCGCATCCACGCGCACAGCACAACACCCACCCGAGCGGAGTCTGCACCGCCATTTTCTACCGACACTTGTAGCTCTCCGAGGACTCGCCATTGAGTCCAAGACATTCCCCTTTGGAGATTTTAGCATAATCCTCCCAACTCTGGGACTGGATTAAAGTATTTGCAAGATTCTCGCGGGAGGGGGAGAGGAAAGGAGGAGGACGGTTTCGCCTGCCCGGGCTGGCGCTATAAATTACACCTTAAAACAGACTTTCCCTGACTGCGGCCTAAGCGCACCTCGGTCCCTATTGTCCTCCCTGGCCGGCCCTAAGGGTAAGAGCGTGCTTTTGCTTTCCCCGTTTGGATCTGGGTTAGGCCACTGAGAATTTGCCTCCACCCTACCCCCTTCTTCCTCTTTTCCTCCCCCCTCTCCGGCTGAATTTCTCCAGAAATGCTCGCCCAGACGAAGGGAAGCGCAACGTCATTCATATTTAAGGAGGCAATTATTTTCTCGTTTGAATCTAGAACGGTGTTCATGAATAATTTGTAGGCCGTTCTATTGCCGTTTCAGAAACATTTGGGTTTGAGGATCTGGGGAGGGGTGGCTAATAAAAAATGCTGCGCTGGAATATATATATTTAAAAGGGTGCCTTCAAGATTCCGCCTCCATCCTCCACAACAGAAAGAAAATTAATTAGTTGGGGGAAGTTCAAGGGGAAAGAGTCCACGAAGTAAACTAGTCTGGGTGATGACGAGGCAGCATCCTTCTCAGGCACTCCGCCGGGTGCGCTGATGTAGGTCAAATGTACCACGAATCTGACCATTTTCTGCTTGGGAGACTTCAAAGGAGACGGCAGCTAAAGGGGCAGTAAAAGTTTGTTTGCTTAAGCAAGGCGCGGCAATTAAGGGGACGAACCTGCCCTCTCGTCTTCTTGCCTCCCGGACACAAGGATGCCTTGCGGGGGAGGGGGACGGGGGGCGGTGTTTGTTGTTCTTCTCGTTGCTATTAAATGTACTTCCGGCGACGGTACGTATTCCCATGTATGATTTGGAAAAGGAAATAAATAAACGAACCCGGGTCAAGGCTAAGACCAAGCCTGGGTATTTTGGCGTTTTCCAACTGCAGGGCGAAAAAATTTGGTTGGGCTGTAAGCGGATCTCACAATAGGATTATATCGTTTCCGCACCAGTATATGAGGCTGGCGGGGAAGTGTGTGTGTGTGAGCCTGGGTGGGAAAAAATGTACTCTGGAACGGATTGAATTTTCCAAAAGGGCTTATTTCTTATCTTTTGCCAAGGGGGGGGGAGGGGGGAGCAGCACAACAAATTACAAACGCTGGCTGCTAACCTCAGCAGTAGTGTACAACTTCACAGTCTGCTCTTGGAAGTGTGAAAACTTTCTCGGCGCAGCCTCATTCATTATCGACGCTTTTGTGGCCGGACGGGGTCAAACAGGGTTTCAGCGAGGTCTTTCCCTCCGAGTCCCCTGCCTTTCTGTGTTAACTAGGACTAACAAATGTTTCTGGACACCGGGTCCCTTCAGGATGCTGGCCAGTGACCTCTGGAAGCGCTCAGGCCAAAATGGACTCTTTCCTCCCCTCCCTCCCTTCTTGCCTTCTCGAGCTCCCAAACCTGCCTGCCTTCCCTGGTTTCCGTGTACAGCGGAAGGAAAGGGCCTTGTGGAACTGGCGGAGGACTTGGAAAGAAACGTTGTGGAGTCCCTCTTCCGGAACAAAAAGAGGGAGCTGTTGCAGCTGTGCTTTTCTCACGAGAAGACAGCCGAAGCAGCCGCCCCAGAGACATCACTCAAAACTGTGCGGACAAGTTGCGATTTCTATTGTCCGCTTCTAATTTGTGAGTTTGCGCCAAAATTCCAGGATTTCTGCCACCTCCAAGGGCTTTTAACTCTCCCTTCCCCGTTAAATCCCTAGCTAGTCTGTGGGAAAGACACAGACACCCACATCAAAATGCATCCGTTTAGAATATGAAACGTATCATCTCTGCAAACCGAGAGCAACAGCTTAAAAACTCACGTCTCCAATAGTATTACTACTAAGACCACAAGTATTAAAAGCAATCGCCAGTCGAGCAGACGGCTGAACAAAAACGGAACTCAAGAAAGTCTTCTTCATACTGACCTGTGTGCGTCCTTTTGTGGATTTTGAGATTCTCGGAGCGCGCGAAGACTTTCCCGCATCCCGGGAACGGGCAGGGAAAGGGCTTCTCGCCGGTGTGGACTCGGATGTGGTTGACCAGTTTGTATTTGGCCTTGAAGGGCTTCCCCTCGCGGGGACACTCTTCCCAGAAGCAGATGTGGTTGGACTGCTCGGGCCCGCCGACGTGCTCCACCGTGACGTGAGTCACCAGCTCGTGCATGGTGGTAAAAGTTTTCGAGCACAATGTCTTGGGCGTCTGATCCAGTTCGATCCACTTGCAGATCAGCTCTTGCTTGATGGGCTGCCTCATGTAGCGGAAGAAAGCCCCCGGGCCGTGGTGGGGGGCCAGATTGACGTTCAGGTTCATGCCACCGTAGCCGTGGAAGGAAGAAGCGGCGAAAGGGTCTGTCCTGGAGGCTGGCACGGGAGTGAAAGGCTCAGACCTGGCGTACATTTCTCCAGGTAGCCCCAGTCTTATTTGTCCGTTTAGATGGCCACCTGGAGTTGCATGGGGAGGTTGCTCATGGTGCAGACCAGTAAAAAGCGAGGGAGTCCCGGCTTCTGAGTGGTGGTGGTGGTGGTGATGGTGGTGGTGGTGAGCATGGTGTCCCGGGTAGCTACCTGTTGTTGAGACAAACATGCCGTGATGAGAACGCGTGGCAGCTGATTGTGGGTAGGGGAGCCCTGGCATGACGGGGGCCGTCAGATCTCTGCGCAGGAAAAAGTCCCTACCTGCGGGAAGAGCTTGGCTCGGGTGAGGGACCGCATAAGGGACGGCGGTGGACTGCCTCGGGCCACATGCTTCGGTCGGACTGTGCACCCCCGCAGCCCGGCCTGCCCCGGGGTGCTGCTGGGGATGAGGCGGAGGGGCAGGGCTGAGCTTGAGGGTCGCTGCGTGATGAGGAGGGCAGTGGCGGTGGTGGAGGTGGTGGTAGAGGTGCCCCATGTGTTCTGACCGGAATGGGCTCAGCCCCTGGCGGGACTCCGCCGCCGGCTCCCCGGGGTGCGTGGGAACCATGGCGTGGGGATGCCCGGCGAAGCCTGTCATGCTCGGAGGGGAGTGGTGATGGCAGGGATGGGGGTGAGGAGGAGCCCCTGCCAAGCCTACTAATTTCGGCGCCGTGGTCCGTTTGGAGAGCGCCGCAGAGTCCATTACTGGGCTCCCCCAAAACCTCCCCGCTCACAGGCTTCGACAAAAGTCACCTGACAACGGGGAGGGGGGAGCCAGAGAGGGGGGGAACTTTTTCCAAAGTCCCCCCCCCCCTTAACAATTTTTCCCATTCTCTCTCAGTCTGGGATATTTGCCTTTTTTTTGTTTTTTCTTCTTTCTCCCCCCCCCCCCCTTCTTTCTTTTCTCCTCCTCTCCTTTTCCTTTTTCATTTCTCCCCCCCCTTTTTTTTGCTTCCTCCTCTTTTTTTTTTTTTTTTAATGCCTACGTGGAATCCCATCCACTTTGAGAAGCAGCAGCGGGACGCTGGGAGGCCGCTGAATAGAGCTTCAGAGAGTCGGGCTCCAACCCCGAGAGCTAAACAATCGAGGCGGCCGCTGATTGGCCGAGGCCGCCTGACCGACGTCAGCGATGACAGGTCCCCGCTGAAGTCTGAAAAGATTTAGGAAGGGGGGGAGGGGGCGGGGAGGGAGGAAGAGGACGCGGGTAGAGCTGCGCAGTCGCAACTCTTGGCTGTAATCGCCCCCGCCCTTCCTTCGCCCCTCTTTCAAAAGATGTTTCCTCTTTCCCCTCCTCGTCTTGCTCTGCAACCCCCACCCCGGAGCCTGTCTGGGGTTGCATTGACTCCCCGCAACGAACGAAAAGTTATAAGTATCCTGCATCTGATTTGGATGATGTCTGATGGAGCAGTGGCATACAGTTACCCAAAAGCCTTTTTGTAATTTTTTACCATTGTCAGCCTGCAGGCTTACAAAACCCCATTTCTCCGAGGAACTCTCGGCCGCCTCCCAGGGGCGGCTGAGGCTGGGCGGACGCTCGGAGGTGCTCTCGGGTCCCCTGACTGCGTCCTGGCTCGGGTCCCCTGGCTCTCGGGCCCGCCTCCCGGGCACGGGCTCTTCCCTCTCCCCCTCCCCCTTAGGAGCGTGATGAGCAGACGATTTAATGGCGACCTCAGATCGGTGTCTGCTCGGAGGGCCTGATTGGCCACCGGCGGGCTCCTGGTGGGGCCGGCCCGCTTCCTTCCTGCAGCAGCAGCCGCTGCAACCACAAAGATGGAGGAGGAGGAGGAGGCGGCGGCGGAGGGGAGGCAGCCGCAGCCTCCGCCGGCCGCGCCGGGACTCTGCTCCAAACTTCCGCCCGTGGGGATGGAGGGGGGGGGGGGAAGTGCCTGAGAGCCATGCCCAGGCCAGTCTGCCGCAGGAATCCGTCGGGAAGGAGGGCCTGCCGGAGGGGGGAAGCCCGGAGACGCGGCTGCTTGCCGGCTGTCCTCCCTCCACCTTCTTCCCCCTGTCCGGCTTGGGCATGAATTCGGCAGCCCGGCGCCCCCCACCGCCCACGTCGAGCGGGCTCCCCGGGAGAAATGGTCTCCTTGTGGGAAGCGAGCCGGTCTCTCCTCGGGAGCAGCCGTCTCAGCGTGGGGGGCGGGGTGGGGGGCTGAAGAAAGTTTCGCGAGCCCGAAGCCCCCAGGATCCTCGAGGGGAAGCTTCCGAAGACGGATCCGCTCCTCCCGGCTCAGCCAGATCCCACCTCCGGCACCGCTCCCGCCGCCCGGGCTGCCGCCTCCGCCCGCCCCGCCATCCGTTTGACTGCCGATTATTTATTGCGCACACAAATCTCCGGGGCCCCGTTCCCCGCCGAAAGGGGTACAATGAGGGAGGGACAGGCTTTGCATACAGAAGTCGTCCTGGGAAGCGGAGCCGGGCGAAAGGAGGTCTTTAGATTTCTGACACTTGTTGGCGGCCCGAGAGAACCGGGCCTTTAGCAAACCACAACAAAAGCTCTGCCACATCCTCATTTCCCACGGCCGCGGGATTTCTCCTCCCCCCCTTCCTTCCTTCCTCTTCCCTCCCTCCCTCCTTGGCCTAATGCGTGGTCCTTCCCGGCAGCACGACTCCCATCCGACTCTTCGGGGCGAGGACTTCCCGGCAGCCGAGAAGTTTGTGGATCTTTGTTTGTGAAGAAGGACCGGGGAAGCATCTGAAAAATCAAGTTGAGTCGACCGGAAGGTCTCTCTGACAAGCCGCCTGCCTTCACTGGGAGGAAGTGGCAGCACTGAGGTCCCTCGAGAGCAACAACAGAACCAGTCGATTAGCGTTATCGAGCAACGCCTTTCAGGACAGGCCTCTGGGTAAAGCAAACGGGCTGGAAGTCTGAGATGTTCGGGACGGAAGTAAAGATTCGGTTTTACTTTCTCTCGTACGGGGAGGGGGAGCCCTCCACACACACTGAAGTCACTTCCTCTCAAGGCCGGGTGGTTGACCGTACTAGATCAAGCAGACTTTCTCTCCCCCCCCCCCCATGAAAATCTGGCGTGCTAAACCCAGGAAGGCAGAAGTGACTGCCCGCATAAGTGTGTTTAGGACGGCTAGTCAAGAGAGTAGAGACCTGATAATATCTACCACAGGACAATTCACCACTGTAGATTTTTGTTTAAAATGTATACATTTTTAAGGAGCGGGCTGTAAAGCGGAGGAGTTTGGGGGAAGGGGTTGTTTAGAACAACACTGGGCCTCTGTCATCTCAAATTCGCTTGCACACTCCGCAGGCTCTTTTAGCGTGGGCTCTGTGCCGCCTTTTCTCCCAGGTTAACCTGTTGGGTAAGACCTGGAAGGCTTACAGCGCAGTCCTCGACCCTCCTTTAGGACGGCGGCGTCATTTCTTCCTCCGTGTGAGGATGCTGGCCGGTGCCGAAGACACCAGTGTTCCCTAAGCCGCGAACCTGGCCAGATTTACTGCCGAGAGACCCGGCACGGGACAGAAGGGGAATGTGCTCGAATTTTCTTCGGCTTAATTGGTTTCACCAGCGAAGAAAGTGTCCTTTCCCATATTCAAGAACCGGATTTGGAACCAAAGAGAATGTGGGGGAGGGAAGTCCCCCGGGAAACTGCAACCCAAATTTAAAACACAAGCACAAATGTTTCTTCGGCTGTTCACGGCGAAGATGAGATGTCAGCACACAATGACCCCTGTTCGTCGTATCCCAAAGAAGAAAACACTTTTAGTCTTCCATGACCCTGGGAAGACGACATTTGACCACATTCTGGAAGCAGCCTTTGCGCTCAGTTTGCGTCTTCAGGAGAAGCCTCCCGGAGACAGAGCCCCGCAAACCTATGAACGTTTCTGGAGTCATCGGATAGCGCAAATACATTTTATGATGGTTGTATTAGTAAAATTACCGTTCCTGACTTCAAGCCACTGTTACCGCTCAACTTTCGGCTGAAGAAACAAAACAGAAAAACCTTCCTGGCATTTCCCAACATTTTAAAGGGCTGTCTTTTCAGGACAGCTCTGTAGCCAAGGGCTGGGTTTCAGATACACAATGCTTCTCAGCGGGCCATTTCATTGCACTTTACAGCCGAGGAGGAATTCTAGACGTGAAGGGATACATCTTTGCCCACTGTCTGTCCAAGTTGGTAACACAACAAAAGGCAAGTCTAGCCCTCGTGCCTATTACGAAGTTAATGTCAGGTGCACACACTTCTATGCCCCGAGGACCCGAGTAGTCTTGCACGTAATAATTAGCTAACCCTTCTTACATAACAAGTTTCACGTAGACAACTTAACCCCCCTCCCCCGGCAGTTCCAGACAACATTCCCTCGTCAGTCCTTTTGCCCTAAACCAAATAAAAATAAAAATCTCTCCCCCCCCCTTCCTCACCCCTGACCGCCTCCGAAGGAGACCACAAGACAGAAACAAACATTTAGGAAGCAGGACTCTGGGAAGCTGTTACTTACAAAGGTAACGAGAGAGGGTGCGCTCCAAATAAAGCTGTCCTCCTCCTCCTCCCGCCTTACCACCACTTCATCTCTACACACTTGACATCCTTCAATCCTGACAGTCCTCAGTCAAGGGAGAAAACATCTGGAACACTTTTATCAATTTCCTTTAAAAAATAATAACCCACCATATATATAATATATACCTCGCCAATCGCTGGGCTAAGGCCATTCTAAAATATTGGCATGGCTTCTTGTCAAACGCTAATGGCTTTATCCGCTCTTACTTAAAACCCTGAGGTTCCTCACAGGGGTTTCCCCCCTCTCCCCCCCCCTTCCTCGCATGAATCCAATGGAAAAGAAATGGCCCATGGTGTCTCTCTCATTATATTAGGTGAAGTTAGTACTCTCACTCCTAGCATTTGTTGTGTACCTTGGGAGATGTATCTGCCTGCGTGTGTGTGTGTGTGTGTGTGTGCGCGCGCGCGCGTGTGTGTGAAGGAGAGAAGAGAAAGCCGGAGAGGGAGGGTGGGGGTGGCGGATGGTGATGTACACATGACCAGAAGGCGGAGAAAACAGCGAGAAGGAGGACCCGGAGAAAGTTTTTACCTTTCTCGAGGAGAATGTTTGGGGCACTGCTTTTACCTGTCCGGCGTGCACTTTCTATTCACCCCCCTCTAGATCTCGCCCCACCCCCGATCTTATTTGTTTTGCCGGCAAACGGCAGCCAGACTGCCGGTTTTCTTCCAGGTAAATGAACTACGGAGAGGGCAGGATGGCCTCTTCGCTCGGCGCATAAACAAACCTGGAGGGCAGGGAGGCGACAGGCATATATTTGAAAACTGTCACGGCCCTCACGGAGGGATTCCGCATCTCATATAAATACTGGAGCGGCGGCACTTGCTGACAAGGAGAGGGGCCCTTTCCAAGAATATTACGCGCAGTGGTGTCGCCGCGGCCCTCAGCCGGCAGCGGAATCCCCACTCCCCCGAGGCTGCCGCGGCAGCAGGATCTCGCTTGGACTCCTGGCTCCAGCGGACGCTGATCCCGGTCCCTTGCCGAGGGCCACAGCCTCAGGAGCCAGGGCGACACCGCGGCCTGCAACCGGGCTGGCCCTGCTGCCAGGTGACCGGCGAAGATTCCTCGGGGCTTGCCGAGGGCGGTCCTCTTCGCCGGCCTAGCCGAGGCGGCCTGGTTCCCCAAAGACCCTTAAATCCAGGCCCTCCTCGCCCTCCTTCCCCCAAGAACGTCGCAAGGGCCCCAGGACAGTGTCTCCGGCCCACTGCAACCCACGGAGCGGTCTGAACAGGCCTTAATGCCTCTTCCTCGGCTGAACTGAGCGGGGCATATCCAGAGGCCAATCTGGATATCCAGGGAGGTTCCTCACTCTAGCTAGGCCGGCGCCTTCAGGGAATCCACACACTTGACCTGTTAGAAGGGTAGGGGGGGAGAGAGAGAAAGAGAGAGACAGGTTTCGGGAAGAAAAAGGCCAGAGAACCCAAGGGAAGCGCAGCTCGTGAAGAAGGGCCGCAAAGCTGAGCAGGTCTTCGTGGGCACCCTTTCCTTTCGGGTTTGGTCCTGTCCTGGAACACAGGACTGACTGGTAAAGTGCGCTCTGCCCCTTTGACTCCGGCGGCGACCAATGTCGGTCACAGCGGCCGCAGGGTCGCAGCCTTCTGTTGCTTTCTGCTGTCTTCGCCGAAAGACTGGGCGGTTTCAGAAGCTGGAATCGAGATGCGCTCGGTTCCGTCTATTGGATTGGGGACTGGGTTTCCACCTTAGCAGACACATGCCCTGTATGTCCGAATTCCGAAATGCTGTGTTTCCCAAACAGCATCTTTTCTATGCTGCTTGGAATGACGGGAAATCTTCCCTTCTGCAGATCTGAAGTTTATAATAAAGTTTTATAATAAAAACTGGGATTCTGCTGTAACTGTTTTTTTATTTATATATATATAAATAAATATAGTATATATATATATACTGTAGTTATCCAGGCTAATCTTGATCTTCTCCGTGACACTTAGACAACCCTTGCCTTTTAAGGCTTCCCTTGTGAATGCTCACACGTGGGTCTGATACAAGGCAATGAGCGGGGGCTTCATTTTCAACCGCCATTGCCCTCATGATCTACTCCAATATACAATATTAAAAAGAAAACTTTCTCAGTCAGAGCAATACTCTGGCCTTCCTAGCCGCAGGTATTTTCTTTCCTCTCTTCTCTGTCGACAGCGTTGATTCGGCTGCATTTATTAGCAGGATCTGACCTTTTGCTTCAAGCTAAAGCAGCCAAACTCTCCGGGCGATTCAGAGCCGCAGAAACTTTTTCCGCGGCTCTCTGTCCGCCTCGCTGACGGGTCATTGAATCAGTGTAGGAAGAAGGTCGCCACTGATTATGAAGAAGGAAGGTCTGATAAAGAAAGAATTTTCATGCCACCCCGTCCCTCCCCCCTCGCCTTTATAAACAACGCTGCAAGGTCCAGTTTGAAATGCTAACTCAACCTGGTCACATTGGAAATAGGGAAAGGGACAGTCCCATCGGAAGCTTTCTTAAGCTCCAAGATGTGCTTTCGAGGCTCTGTGGCGCGAATGATTTTCAAAGGAAACACGATCCGAATTATCTGGAGGATTAACTGAATTGTTGACGGGCTGTAAGAACATAATGCAGGGGAAAATCCGTGTTCCTGATCACCTATTGCGCCTTTACGCAATTCGAATATTGGGGTGGGGGGCAAAGGGAAGCTGGAACCGCGTGGGTACGATATTCTGGTCAACGAGCAAGAGCCGCATGGGAAGGACTCTCACCAAGCAGACCCAGAATGTTAGTAAAATAATATCAAGATTTAAAGAACAGCCAAAAT